GATACATATACTTGTTCTTATGCTGCGTAGAAATTTTGAGCTCATTCCGATCAAATTTGGATTTTTTACGAATTTTTAAAGTTACTCCAAAATCAGGTCAAAGTCCCTGTACTATAGTACAGCGTTACTGGCTAAATTTTACCAAAATTAAAAAATTAAAATTTTTCAATTTAAAAAATTTTTTCTGACGCATATACATGTACTTATGTTGTGTGGAAAGTTTGAGCTGATTCCGATCAAAATTGGATTATTTATGAATTTTTAAAAGTTACTCAAAAATTCAGCTTAAATACATGTACTGTACATGGTCTTTGGCCAAATTTCCCTTGAAGAGAATTCTTCTTTCTAATTACATTTTCTGATACATGTACATGTATCATATACTGTAAGAGGGAAGAGTTTATACAGGACATACCTATCAAATTTCAATACCTCTCCCCTCACTGTAGCATGTGAACTATTCTACCATTCATCATTATTCCTAATGTACAGTAATGTACTGCTATACTGAAGATTATATTGTGTATCATTAATGTACAATGATTCCAGTACTTGATACAGCATGAATAAGGTTCATATATTAATAATCATGAATGTTTATAAAAGGCACACACATACACTTGCCTTGTCTTACATACATGTTGGTTTATTTTGATCACTAATACCAACAATACTTCTCATATCATCTCCTGTATGTATATAAACTCTACATAAACAGAAAGCATTTGGACTTAGCCATCACTATGTTTACTGAAAGGAAATGTTATGATAAACTTTAAAGATAAAGGGACAACATGATCCATTAAAATATTCACCTGTTAAATATAGTCAGATGATATTATACACTATATCATACACTAGCTACTATTACTACTACTAGTATAACTGCTACTACTGAAGAGTTGGCATAGGGCATAGCTATCACATTTCTCTATACCTCAATAATGCTGTTATTTCCTTCTCTGTTACTACTTACATATTCCTATCATATTGTCTCATCTTACATGTCTAATCATAGCACTGATGTGACATATATAATATAGGATGAAGAGAGTGAGTGAGAGGTGGGATGAAGAGAAAGGGATGATCTAGAGATCAGAGGAAGAGAGAGAGAGAGGGGGTGAGCCATAAAGTGCTGTAGATTGCCATCAGTATGTAAACTAAGTACTTGTTATGAGCTCTGACAATAACATAGCTATAGTGATAGAATACACTATATCACACACTAGCTACTATGGAATACTGCTACTAATAGTATAACTACCACAACTGAAGAGTTTGTATAGAACATAACTATCACATTTCTCTATACCTCTCCCCCTCACTATAGTATATGTGAATAAAATGCTGTTATTTCCTTCTCTTCTGTTACTATTTACATATTCCTATCGTATTGTCTCTTCATTACTAATACATTATATACCTAATCATAGCATTGATATATAATATAGCATGAAGAGAGTGAGTGAGAGGTGGGATGAAGAGAAAGGGATGATCTAGAGATCAGAGGAAGAGAGAGAGGGGGTGAGCCATAAAGTCAGTGCTGTCTAATTCTGATAACAGATAGATTACCATCATGAGTTCTGACAGTAACATAGCTATAGTGATAGAAAGGGGAGGAAATGTGATAAACCTGTTTACCATTATATGTACACAGTTGAATAGTTTGTATAATGTTATCCTACCCCTCCCCATTCACTATACCCTCTCTCTCTTTAAGGGCCACTGTTATTTCAATAGCACATATTTATCACTCATGTCACAAGTAGCCTACAGATGTGATAAAGCTAGAAGGATCAAATATTTGTTGGACTTCTGCCTTAGTACACTCTTTGCCTGTAACAATAAGATAGGATATAATGTTGTTAGATTATCTTATCAAGTAAACTGTCATAATTATTATTTGACCTCAGTTAAAGGCTATACAGCTGGAATAATATGCACATCTTGTCAATTAAATTCACACTATAGCATCTGACTTATGTAGCAAATTGTGTATTACTGCCATTACTTTTTAGTTAATTGGCTTTGTGTTCCATTGGTTTATATTGATCACAATGCATCACATCAAGTCACAACTAATGTGTGCTATGCATAATTATTGATAAGCAGTGACTTGAAACCACTCCAGTGTGAACACTCAGGCCTGGCTCTGGCCCGGATATAATATGCTTTAGTTTAAAAGGACCTTAACTTGTGAATGGATCAAACACTCAAGTTATGCACGGGGAGCTATATATAACTAAAACTAACTAAAACTAAACCAACAGCTTTTACCGGGATAACAAGAACTATAACTATTCTTGTTATATACAG